TCAGAAGATAATCCTGAAACAGACTATAAATCTGATTTTTCTGAAAGCTCTAATAAGAAAATGGACAATGATTCCATCTTCTCAGAGGAAGAATGTGAGAATTGTAAACAAGGAAAATCTTGTATTAATCATATTAATAACACCAATGATAATAATGATGAATTTTATAGACTCATGTCGCAATTTAAAGATTTAAATATAAATGTCCTCATATCTCAGAAATGGTATACTAGAATTATCCTTCTTATTGATAATACATATAAAAGAGAATTTATTGCCATGATTGATAGTGGTGCTGATTTGAATGTTATACAAGAAGGTCTTATCCCTACAAAATATTTTCATAAAACTTCTCATTCCCTGTCACATGCTGGTGGAAAACCTCTCAACATAAATTATAAACTTCCTAAAGTCTATATTTGTAAGGATAAAAATTGTATTCCTTCCAGCTTTCTTTTGGCCAAAGACATTTCCAGCCAACTCATTCTTGGTCTTCCATTTTTACATCAGATATATCCTTTGACTGCTGTTAATTCAAAAGGTCTCACAGGTACTTTTGAAGGAAAACCTATAATTTTTGAGTTTATAACAAAACCTATACAAAGAGTTCTTAATGAACTACAAGAGCATGTTGACAGAAAAGAATTCCATATCAATTCTTTAAAAGAAGAAATTAGTTTTTTATCTATTGATGAAAAACTTAAAAATCCCAAATTACAGGATACGATTAAAATTATCCATAATAATTTCTCTGTTGAAATATGCAATGACTTTCCAAATGCTTTTTGGGAAAGAAAAAAACATATTGTTTCCCTTCCCTACGAAGAAAATTTTAAAGAAGAAAATATTCCTACCAAGGCTAGACCTTGTCAAATGAATTCTGAATATTTGGAGTTATGCAAAAAGGAGATAAAATCCCTTCTTGACAAAAAACTTATTTCTCCCTCTCAATCCTCATGGTCCTGTACTGCTTTCTATGTTAATAAACATTCTGAACAAGAGAGAGGTGTTCCTAGACTTGTTATTAATTATAAACCCCTTAATAAAGTTTTAAAATGGATTAGGCATCCTATCCCTAATAAAAAGGATCTTTTAGACAGACTTGTCCATGCCCTAATCTTCTCTAAGTTTGATTTAAAATCTGGATTTTGGCAAATTCAGATTGATAAATCTGACAGATATAAGACAGCTTTTAATGTTCCTATTGGACATTATGAGTGGAATGTTATGCCTTTTGGATTAAAAAATGCCCCTTCAGAATTTCAACAAATTATGAATGACATTTTTACCCCTTATAGTGATTTTATCATCGTCTATATAGACGATATTCTTGTCTATTCTAAAGACATTGAAAATCATTTCAAACATCTAGAACTTTTCAAAAAGATTGTTATACAAAATGGTCTTGTCATTTCAAAACCTAAGATGGTTCTCTTTCAAACAAGCATTAAATTTCTCGGTCATAACATTGAAAAGGGAAATATTATTCCTATTCAAAGAAGCATTGAATTTGCATCAAAATTCCCTGATATTATTACTGATAAGACCCAGTTACAAAGATTCTTAGGAAGTCTGAATTATATTTCCCCTTATATTGAAAATCTCAATAAAGACTCGTCTATTCTTTATGATAGGTTAAAGAAAAATCTTTTACCTTGGTCTGATAAACATACTGAGGCAGTTAGGAAAATCAAAGAGAAGGTTAAAAATCTCCCCTGCTTAATGATTGCTAATCCCCAATGGGAAAAAATTATTGAAACTGATGCTTCTGATATTGGATTTGGAGGAATCCTCAAACAGGTTAATCCCCAAAATAAACAAGAATATCTTGTTAGATTTTATTCTGGTAAGTGGAACAATGCACAAAAGAATTATTCTACTGTTGCAAAAGAAATTCTTGCCATTGTTATAAGTGTTCTTAAATTTCAGGATGATTTATATTATCAGAAATTTATTATTAAAACAGATTGTCAGTCTGCAAGATTCATGTTCATAAAAGATTTTAAACATGATGTTTCAAAACAAATGTTTGCTAGATGGCAAGCTCATTTAGCACCTTTTGATTTTCAAATTATCTATAAACGAGGGGAAGAAAATCATCTTCCTGACTTCTTAACTCGTGAATACCTGACATGTCTAAATCTTCAGGAATGAGTACACCTGGACGGGGTTATCTTCCCTCTTATAGAGGAAGAGGTGGTAGGGGTAAACCCCCTAATCAAAATTACGATGGAAGAAATGATACTTCAAACACTATTCTTCAGCATGGGAGAAAGAAGCTTATAGCTCAAAGCTTTTCTGGAAGTACTACTTCTGGTAATCCAAAAGATCCACTTCATAATGAGTTCCAAGAATTCTTGAAACAAAAACAACAGAAAGAAGGTAATATCCCTGAGTCAAGTTCACATACATCGTATACCAATATTGCAAAAGATGATGATGATTCACATCTCTACATTGAAAGTCTTAATAAGGAAATCATTCTTCTTATAGAAGAAAAGGACTCATAATGGGCAGATAACCCATGGATAATCATGGAGAGATATTTGAGTAATAACTCTTTGTCATATGGTTCATACAAACCAAGAGGATTCTATGAAAATATCCTCGTTCATATGAAGAGTGTTGAGATCAACCATTTTTCTTCAGGAAATGAAAAAGATAAAGGAAATTATAGCTTTTCCAAAATCATTATTAGAAAGATTATATCTTTTGAAGAATGGGGAATTTCTCCCCTTAGTGAGAAAGAGATGTTCTCCCAAAATAATACGAATTTCAAATTCAACTATTTTGATTATATAGAAAGTTTTTATAAAACTTTTTACTTTGAAAACAAAAAACAAAGGCATTCTTGGTTTATTAAGATATGTGAAAATATTTTTCACAAACCAATCCCTACTTGGTTTTTTTCTTGGTGGAGAATTTTTGGACCATCAACAAACATTTTGCCTGAAAAATTCAGCAGTCTTATGAAAGAATGGGTAGCCATTTCTCCCAGCATTCAAAATAATGAGAAATACATTGAAGGAAAAACTTCCTGCATATTTTTTATCGAATTTGGTATTCCATGGATTTGGAAGTGGAAACCAACTTTTGGTTATACCAACTACGGAGCTCCATGCTTATGGAGAATTAGCATGTGTAAGTTCTGGGAAAAACTCATGCGCCTTGATACAGAAACAGGAGAAATATTTGGCTCCGAAACCATTGAAAAAATAAAAGAAAAAATCAGTATTTATAGAAATGATCAAGAAAAACGAGAGGAAGATGAGAATACTAGTCCTTTCAAACTCTTTGCTCAGAAATATTCTGAGATCTATCCAAAGGAAAAAATTATTGATATTTTCCTCGAGCAAATGAAGAAGGATATATCTAAACAGATTAGAAGCTCAGGATCAGATGCTTCCATGAACTCTGAGTCAAGTTTTACCAAGTCAAATAATCCTTTGCAAGATGCGCAAGATCCGGAGGATGATATTGATAATGATATTGAAGACCTCCCAGACATTGATAATGCATTTGAAGCGTTTAAAGACTCTCTCTTAAAGTCATGAAGGAGACGACAAAAATTAAAGTTTGAGCATTATTAAAGTATGAGCATTATTGTCTTTCATAGTGGACAAATTGCTAATCACCTTTTTGACTTTTGAGTCATTTCTTTTTGTGGTGGTAATTATTCACCTTTTTGACTTCTGAGTCACTTGTTTGGTGAAATATCACCTTTAGTTTTATTTTCTATTTTGAAATCCGGGGTTTCATGTCCGCGATTTCTCTATTTATAGGCTTGTCTTTCATTCTGGAAGGGCATTCAGTTCTCTGGCCTTTCCTACTCTCTCCCAAACCTCTCTCTTGTAAAAACCTTGTGTTTTATAAATAAAAGCTTGCTACTGGTCGTCTTCATCATCGTAAGTATTTTAAATTTCTGTATTTAAATTTTGTTATTGCTTTATTTTCAGTTTCTGCCGCCTATATGGTCGGCTAGATTGTATATGTGCTAGATCATGGCTTGACTAAATATAGTTTCTACTAACATGGTAATAATGTCATCTTAAATTCAAAAATTTTTAAGTCATGTTGAAGCTGGAATAGATCAGTTTGGTTAAATATACTTCGTGCCCGTTGTCCTTGTTGCCATCATGTCCAGAAGTGATAATAATAATAATAATAATAATAATAATAATAATAATAATAATAATAATAATAATAATAATAATAATAATAATAATAATAATAATAATAATAATAATAATAATAATAATAATAATAATAATAATAATAATAATAATAATAATAATAATAATAATAATAATAATAATAATAATAATAATAATAATAATAATAATAATAATAATAATAATAAGCCGTAAAAATATATTAAAAAAAAAATCTTGCTCGCGTGATTTCACGCGAACAGAGAAGTTTTAGTCGCGTGATTTCACGAGAGCAAAACATCATTGTTCGCGTGAAATCACGCGAGTAGGATTTGTTTTAATTAATAATAAATTAAATCGCATTAAAAAAAATTAAAAATTGTACTCGCGTAGTTTCACGCGAACAGAGAGCTTTTGCTTGCGTAGAATTACTCGAGTATATGGTCTCTGTTCGCGTAAAACAACGCGAGTACAATTTTTTTTAATCATATTTAAAATACAAAATAGAAAATAGAGTAATTTTTTGACACAATAAAAATAAAAAATCGAGTAATCGTCCAACACAATCAAAATAGAAAATCGAGTAATCGTTCAAAACAATAAAAACAGAAAAACAAGTAATTGTTCCACACAATCAAAATAGAAAAACGAGAAACAATCATCCTAGTACAGAACCAATGAAAATGGAAAATAATAGTCAAAATAAAAAAAAAAACAACTGTCATAACCATCCTACTGTCTAACCCTCGATCCCCTACCCCTAGTCCTCGGTCCCCCACGACCCATCCCCCTCCCGGGTACAAGATGGAGATATTGAGCATGGGACATCATCAAATCAAGTAACTGTGGCTAGATTGACATAAATTGTTCTGCCGCATCAAACTTATTATGTACGTACACGATCGGAAATAGGAGACGAGCTATCTCGTTCGCAAACGGCTGATCTGGTGGAGGGGCAACAACGGGCTGAACTGAAGCTGACGCTCTTGTGGGGTTGCACAAATACTGGTGAGTAAGTTTCACATACCACTTCATATAGTTCGGATGAACTGTTTCAGGAGGCCACGCTTCCTCGTAGTTCGATAAGTTAATGAAGTTGGCATTTTCATTCTCCCACATGCCGACAGGTGCGTGAAATGTGACCTTGTAGCCCTTAGCATACATACCGCGGTGGTGGGGCTCAGCAGATTCGATAATGTGAAACGGGATCGTCTGGACTCTACCATATTGCCGTATAACACGGTCTGGCATGTATGGCTCCACTATCTCCATGAACTGTATAGTGCCGTAACACATACTACGAGGAATCTGGTAATGTGCATCAGCCCCGTATGGTGTCCAGTGAACCTATACAAGTTTGGCACAAGTTAGAAAAACCATATTAGGAACGTATGCTCTATCTAAATTACAAACTAACTTACATCTTTTTCTGACATTTCGTCGAGCATCTTCCGATAATACTGCAATTTCTGCCTACAACTACCGCCAAAGGCCCACTTTGTGCACCGAGGCTCGAACTCTGTATATGTCGGGGAAACCTCTGGTCGAAAGCAAGGGAAATACTCAAATATCCAACACTGCAAAAAAAAAAAAAAAAAACAAACAAACAAACAAACAAACCACAGTTCGTATTAAAAACACCAAATATTGTACAAAAAATAAATAAATAAACAAAAAGTTAGAAAATAGTAATATAATTACCAGAAGGGGAATCGGGCACCTATAAAGTCCGTTCATCCCAGCGCGAGTAGTAATACCCAATTGTCGGTACATGTTTGCTAAGCAAGCCGCAGCCCACGAATATTGGTCGACTCCGTCGATATCATTCGTATAATGTATCCACCACGGCTTCATCATCGAAGATATTTTGTCTACAAAAAAAACCGACCCCAGTAGAAACATCAGATATCCTTGTATCTTCTTCTCGTCCGTGGCAGATGGCTTGCTCAAGAGCTCTAGCACCTTTGTCCAATTAATTCCCTTATTTCGAAACATGTCAGTCGTAGTCATAACCCCGAGCCCCAACAGAGATGCAAGACCTTGGGAATACTCTAATGCTTGGGAAACTTCTGCCACTAACGGTCCGTCCACTCTGATAAGTGTTCATTTTGCATGACTTTTACTTATCGAATCTTCGAGTTTTGGTCTTCGTTCGTTCGAGTTTTCGGCTTTATTTGTATATATTTTGTTGTTTTTGTTTTATTTATATTTTAGGTAAAGAGAAGCTATTTTTGCCGATTCGAAACGATTTTGGAAGCGAAGCCGAAAATCAAACCAAACACGTGCAAAAGTGCATTATCGCGGGTTGTGGCACTGTCTTGTATTTCAAGCATAACTTTCTCATACGACTTCCGATTGAGCTGATTCAAGTGGCCATAGAAAGCTAACTTCAATATCTACAACTTTTGGGAAATTCAAAATTGTCAAATTATGGCTAAAAATGGGTCAAAACCGTGTTTGAAGTTGGCGTAGAAGCCCAGATCGCGATCCAGCCTTCCTGTATCGCGATCTGGGGTCTTAGAGAACGCTTTCTTGATCAGGACCCAGATCGCGATCCAGCCTTCCTGGATCGCGATTTGGGGGGTCTCATAGTACATTTTTTGATCAAGAACCAGATCGCGATCCACCATTCCCGTATCGCGATCTGGAAAGGCGGTGCGCAGTTTCCAAGGCTGCCAGATCGCGATCTGGGCACAGAATTCGAGACAAGATATTTTTATTTGATTTCCTACTATAAATAGAAGGTCTCTTTTTCATATCTCAACATATCAAGACTTATCTCTCGACCCCTTCTTCGGTTTTCTCTTCGGTTTTCGCCAGTTCTTCGCGGGAAGCTTCGACGAGGGTTTCGACTCGGGTTTTTCATAAGCTTTTCTTTACGTTTAGTTTATGATTTCTCGTGTTCTTCATTTTGATGCTATGTTTGTAATGAACTGAGCATTTTCTTTTAGGGAAATGAAACCTTGTATATATTGATTTTGATTTCCAGATCTGTGATCTATTTGTCGTTTTTTGATTATGTTTATGTTTTCCTGTATTAAATGCTTTCGATTGTTTGGCCAACAGTTGAATTGATTGTAAATGAGAATAAAATCGAGAGAGGATTTCTCGTTTGATGTTAGGAAAACATAGCTCGGGTTGTGGAAACGGAGACGTGATGCACCTCGGGTCGCCTTTAAGGACTTGACCTAAATGCTCTCTTAATATCAGGTTCTGAACGGAGACGTCGGACCTGTGGGTAGACTCTAACTACACTGGAGACGGGGGTTAGAGTATTTTAGTGTCTGGGTTAGCGAACATAGAATTGACAATAGATTCGGATCTGTAGATCTTTATCGATAGTACACTGGTGGATTTTACCCTAAAAGCCATCACACGTCGGAATTCCTAGCTTTTATTTATTGTCTCTTTTTAATTTCATTTTTCCCATCCATTATTGATCGTCTAGATAAAGTTTAGGATAGCATAATTACGGTACTTGGTAGATTTAGGAACTTAATTCTCTGTGGATCGATATCTGGAATTCACTATTCTACAAAACGCGATACTGTACACTTGCGGTTTTTCATACGTAGGTTTTACGCATATCACACTCGCAACCCCTTGATGAAAGCAACGTCGTGGAGCGTGATCGTCATCTCTCCCCACGGCATGTGGAAGCTGTTCGTCTTCGGCTGCCATCTCTCAACGAACGCTAACATTAATTGTTGATTCATATTGGGGAGCCAACAGTGTCGTAAGTGGTAAAGCCCGGTTGCCTCCAACTTGCTAATCATCATGTCATCCTGCGGGCCGAGGTAGATTTCCAGTGCTCTATTTCTTGACTCGACCCGTCCAGTAGCACGACGTTCCTAATTAATTGCATTTATTAGATAGTGAAAAACAAAAATTATAAAAATATAGAAAACACGTATTAAAAACAAACTTACATGTCCATCCCAAACATAGATCGCTATATGCGACTTGAACCAACGCATAAACTCCAAATTTTCTGGCCCTCTCCCGCACGGACCCTCCAAATACGGCGGACCATCCAAAATTGTAAAATTTATGCCACGACCACGTTTACGTGTCGGCTCCTCGCCATCATGATCATCATTGCCATCATCATTATCCACCATCTCTTCGTCATCATCTCCGTCATCATTAGCCACCATCTCCTCGTCATCATCGGAGGTGTACTGCAACTGAGTACGAACATGACCGACTTGAAGATCATTAGAAGGCCTGACTCCGACTGCAGTAGCTTCTTCCCTCGCTCTCTTTGCTTCTTCTCTTGTTGTCGTTTTCCTTCTACGATCGGATGCTAGAACTTCCCGATCTCCAATACGATCCGGATCATCCGGATTGTTCGACTTCCGACCCAAAGCTTTCATTAAACTCTTACCTTTTCCCGTAACTTGACTCATTAAATTTTTCCCTCTACCTTCGGCCATCTACCATTTAACAAAAAAAATGAATTAGTATTTAATTTAAAAAAAAAAATTAAAGTTGCTCGTGTGTTTTCACACGAGCAGCCAAAAAAATAAAAAAATAAAATAAAAAAATTTAAGCTCGTGTGATTTTATGCGAGCTCGATGAACTGAGCTCGCGCGGTTTCACACGAGCACAAACCCCCTGTTCGCATAATAACACACGACCTCAATTTTATTTTATTTTTTCAATAAAAAGCATACGAATTTAAAAAAAAAATAATAAAAAAAAGTTGCATTCATCTACTCGCGTGGTTTTACACGAGTAACTCCACTGTACTCATGTAGAATCACGCGAGTAAAACAAAATGCTTCGTTTTAAAAAAAAATCAATAATCGTAATCTACGTAACGAAAAAATAAAAAAAATGTAAGAATTACCTCCTATCTATTATCATCTCAGTCGGGATCTGAAATCGAATTCCAAAAGCTTGAGAGAGTTTTTGTGGAAATTTACCTTTTGATTTTTCAAGAATGGTAAAAAAAATGCCTGCACGATTAAATTGTGCCTGCACAAATCATTTCAGTTATTAGTTGACCTCGACTGGAACCAAACTTTGGCTCATTAATTCTTCATTTATGATCTCGTCTTTCACTCAGTTAAGCACGACTGCTTGGGTAAAATTCATTTTCATCCCTGAGGTTTACAGTCAAAATCAAATTAGTCCCTCATGTTCTAATTTGCTTCAATGTCATCCTCCAAATTCAATTTCACTGTTAAAATCAAATATATTTTACTTAATACCCACATTACCCTTCAAACCCTGGGGACGAAAATGAAATATATCTAATTTGACAATTTTAAAATTACACTACTTATTTAAACACTATAATAAAGTGGCTTAATCTCACTTTGCACCCTTGAAATATACCATTTTGACACTTTGCACCCTTGACATAAATTAATAGCACTTTGCACCATAGAAACACAATATATCTTGCATAACGCACCCCAAATGAATTTATAAAGCTAATAAAGGCAATTGAATATTGTTAGTGGTATTCTTTTAGGATGCCAAATGTGAAATTAATTTTTTTTTATTCATCAATCATTTTGAAACTATAAAGTGCAAAAATAAAAATATATTTCATCAACATATTTAAAAAAATATTTGTTTATCACAAAAAATATTTACTAAAAAAATCCTTCAGCTATTTTACTAAAAAAATCTTTCAGCTATTAGATTGGAGGTTGAAAAAATTAACAATTTAATTTGTTATTTTGAACCCCGAAAAAAAAACGCAATAAAAAATGAAATTCTCTTTATTATTCAATTCAGGATTCATTGTGAATGATTTATTGTGTTTTGGGGGTGCAAAATGTTATTATTATTTTTTAATGGTGCAAAGTGCCAAAAGGCTCTAATGTGAAGGTGCAAAGTGCTATTATTATTTTTCAAGGGTGCAAAGTGCCAAAAAGCTCTACTTCGAGAGTGCAAAGTGGGATTAAGCCATAATAAATCATATATATCTGATACATATGCATGAAAAATAGATACCCCAGGAACTTAGCAAAACACTATGTTTTAGAAATATTGCAACCAAATAAAAAAATAAATATTAAATGCTAATATATGAACCAAACAATTATAGCATTTATGTTTAATATTTTAACAAAAATATAAGTATAGTACTATTATGTTGGGCTTTATATATAGGGTTAATATGCTGGAGGTCCCTCATACGAAACGTTATTAGATGTGGGATACGAGCCCAATATTTTTATCGTAACTAAATCCGTCAGTTCAAAAAATATAAGATATAAGGGGTTTTTTTTGAAATATCCCAATAATACCCTTAGTTTTAACAGGACGTTTGTGTGGCGTTATAAAGCTTTATGTCTCTTTAATAAATCACGTCCCTTGATAATAGGGATCACGTATCAATCATGTTCTATTGTGATAGTAATTGTATCTTTATGTAATCTCATTAATATATATTGCACGTAAGTAAAGAAGATTCCATACATAACAATACACAGTGGTAATCGGCTAAACTTTGAGCGTAGTCATTCGACTTTTCTTTGTTCTTCGTCATCGCATATCAGTGTTTCTTCGTGCGTTGTTGGTTGGATGTCTGTTCAATTTTTTTTTTTACCCTTTTTTTTTCCACAAGATCTACTTATAAATTTGAAAATTTAATTGTGCAGTGGAAAAAAGAATTCACGTAAATTATTGTATTAACATATTTATTTGCAGATTTATTTTATGTTCGATTTTTATTTTCACGGTAATTTCAGAATGTCGACAACTGTTAAGATCGTGATGAGGTTTGGTGAATGTTTTGGCATCAAGAATGTGTCTGGTGATATGAATTTCAACATGCTTGTTGGTTATGTGAGGGCTAAATGGAATGAGTTGTACATACACAATATGGTTTTGTCGTATAAGATTTTGGATGATGGCGAGGGCATGCTTACCGATATATGATGACGATGTGGCACACATGTTCTCTTTGATTGACGAGCTTAAGCTTGAGCAGATTGAGATAGTTGTGAAGAAGCGAGAGGGGGTTGTTGTGCACTCGGGCGGTAATTTGTTTATTCACGAAAATCTGCCGGCACTTGATTATGGTATGCCAATTGTGAGTATTGCTGATCCACAGATTCCTAATGGTGGTCCTACTCCATTACTTAGTTGTTTATGGGCAACCTTAATCAAGGATGGTGGCCAATGCTTCCAAGGTTGTGCAAAGGAGTTTAGAATGTCCCGATGCAAGACATGCACAAGGGCTATTCAGTAGTTTTGATTTTGAGTTTTGTTTTAAATGTTTCAAGTTTGCATTGACCTAAAGACTTCGTTTTTTTTTTTTTTTTTTGTTTCTTTCATGTATTTATGCTTTGTGCAGTACTGTGTCGTTTTAGTATTGGTTTTTTTTTTTCGTGACGAATGTTTGTTCTTTCTTTCATTGATTTATGTTTTTGTTTGCATTATTTTCTTACTTTTCAGGGATTCATTTGCACTGTTTGTAAATTGATTTATTTTTTGTGAAAAATATGATGCATGTTTATTGTTTTTACAGATAATGTAATTGCACTGTTTAGTTATTATTAAAATCATCATTATCACAACATTGCATCAATGACTACACATTAGAACAATACAATACAGTTTGTTTTGGTGCACTGTCATTTAATTCGCTCATCCAATGTTCTGTAGTAATTCATAGTCTGCCATAGAAGACTATAGTATTGTTGGTACTACGGTGTTTGACATTGTTAAATTTCAATACCTGCATGCACATAGTATTGTATGGTATTCCTATACACAAATAAACAAAAGTATACAATATCAACAAAGCTAATTTCCAAAAGGCATATATGGATAAGATAGTGTGTCAATAAATAGCAGATTGTTTCGAATATTTCAACACTGATACAAACTAGAGCGGAAAAACCTAACTTCTGCATAAGTTTTTGTTTGCGTACAATAGATAAAAAAAATGAGAGCGGAAAAACCTAACTTATACATAAGTTTTTGTTCTACAATGTCCTTTCTCATTTCTGCAACACCGTCCTCTGCTTCTTTGATTTCCAATGGCATATAAATAAAATATTCTCTAATTATGTAGAAAAATTAGAACGGTAATACGAGGTTGAAAAATGGGGTTCTCTTTAGACATTCTAGGTGGGCATTATTTAGGTGCACTACTTTGAAGAAGGCCACAGTAGACGTCAAGTTAGACCTGAATTGCGATATGTAACCACCTTTATTTCTCGTTTTGCACGCAACATTCATGGCTTCTCCTGCGAATATAACAAACCACACTTTTAATTATGATCAAAGATACATGAATGGTTGAAGATTAAAAAGTACCTATGCCATGTATTGTAGTGTCAGTATCTCTATATTAAGAAATTGGGAATATTGCAATTGACAGAAAACCATAGAACATCATAGTACCCATAGTATACCACAATACTACATATATTATGCAATGAGTTAAACATACAAAATTCATTAGCAATAATCTTAAATATGCCACATAGGACAGGCTATCAATTAAACATAAATTATATATCATATAATAGCAACAGTTTGATATGTCTATAACACAGGTCTCCAAAAAAAAAAAACAAAAAAAACATCACAACAGAATAACTGTACCAAAATATATACTGATATCATGCCATAGATTATTATAGAACATATTCAACTCACAGACTGCCATAGAAACTAGGAGACACAACACAGTACCCAATCATAGACACACATAGAAATACATCATCAATTTATAGTTACAAATATATATAGAAGTCAAATACACGATTTATTAGCAACAAACTTACGAATAAGTAATTGATAGGCTATCCTATCAATTATATAGACATCATATAATAGCGAATGTTAATAGAACATCAGAAAATGAAGTACAACGGAAGGGAACCACTCTTTCACATAACTTCAATGGCATTTCTTCAACTGTTATTTTTATAGAACACTGCAGAAGCACATATCATTTCATAGAATACCATAGTAATGAAACGATATTTTTACAGATAATTATAGAGATATACAGCCTTTTCCACACCAACTATCTACAATCACACAAATCTAAACCTAAACGTAATACATGATGACACTCAGACGTCACGAAACATAGTAGCATACAAATAGCGATTAACCAACAATTGATTGCAACCTTTTGTCACAAAAATATTTACGCGCGTATTTTGAATCAGTCGAATCCATAGATTTTTTTGGTGGAATCCATAGATACCCACAAAATTATTAAGCATCAAACAAAAAAATATACATGCTTTGAATCGTACCAGGGTCTAGTGCAGTTATGTCCTGCTGTCGCTTCATACGCATCACCCCTGTTCATTCAAAACTTACTTGATCTATTTCTTGACGTAGACATCCGTAGACCTTAACTGCGCCGACAATTTGGGAATCTATGATGTTGCTCGGCGTCGATTTGCAGGCGAGAACGAAAGGGAAAAAAACCCTAATCTGGCGAAGATGGGGTGAAGTGGGAGGATAGTGGGTTGGTTTTGATACGGTTAATGTGGGATTTGGGAAAATATAATCTCACAGATTACTAATGGCGAGATTGGTGGGATTTAATTTTTTTTTCCAAAATAAAAAATAAACGGCGTTAATGTCACCGTAAGGGTATTATAGGCACTATTTTCCAAAAGGATGTCTGGCTAATGTTTTTATAGGCTTGGGTGTATCATCTAATAAGTTTTCCCACTAGGGATGCATATCTTAAAGCCCCTTATATATATATATATATATATATATATATATATATATATATATATATATATATATATATATATACTAAGGTAATTAAATACTAAGTATTTCCAAAATTTTGAGAAAAATAGGTGGGCTTCACACATATATTAAATAAAGTTTTGATCATGTGTATGTTTTAGTAGATAAATATTAACGATTATTAAAAACTTTGCATAAAGTAATTAAACGAAAATTTAAAATTGGTCAAAACAATTGATGTTAAAAAAATGCAAAAAAGAAAAAATAAAAAAAAATTGTGTGAAGCCCAAAATTAGGTACATTTCATTTTCATCCCCAAGGTTTTGAAGGGTAGTGTGGGCATTATGTAAAGTATGCTCTTTTTTAGGGGGAATACGATGCTACACCCGGTGATTTTCACCGGGTGGCTCTTTTCTTGACATGTGTCTTTTTTTATTTCTTTTATAATTATATTTCTAAAACCCATTGGGTCATAACTGAACCCGTAGTGGGAATCTTATTAATTTGGGTGCCTGGTTATATAGAATTTCCCCTTTTTTAGCGGTAAAATTGTGTCCAAGGGATGATATTGAACAAAATTAGGAGCATAGAGACTATTTTGATTTTGACTCTAAACGTCAGGGACGAAAATGAATTTTACCCCGACTGCTTCAATCTGCTTGGCTTAAGCTCGCGTAATCGATCCTCTTAACACATGTAGCTCATTCGAATGGTAAAAAAATTGTCCATCTCAGCACTACCTCTCATACTCGGTTGGTTCGTATCAGATTGGCTGACAAATGAGACAATAAACTAGTCTAGATTTAAGATATCCCATTGTTCCTCGTGCCACACTTGATATGTGTACTCTTGGGTCTTCTTCACCTTTGCCTTCATGTTTAAATTGAGTTAGTTTGTTATCACTTCTCAAATATGTATACCTATTGTTTTGAAAAATAAAGGCGTGCAAACCATGTTAGTTTTACGTTTTATTTTTTTAACGTTTTATTTTGGTCCACTAATCTTTAATGTAATTAATTAAATTGTGGGTAATTCAAATTATGGTATTAAGGTGATTTATAGTATTTACTTTGTAACGTAATAAGACAATAAAAGACCATGATGGGTGGGATTTGTCTTCTGCTGTTACAAAGAATCGTGGCCCTCTTCTCTTGTCTATAAAAGCATCCACAACTCTTCTCCTCAACCACCAGACGCAATTTGAGAATTCCATCAATTACAGAAATATTTAGTGAGTTGTGATATTAGAGAGATAGAGAGAAGAAGGTGTGCTACGAATAAAGTTCTCAAGGAGATTCGAAGGAGGCCTGGCTAGGCTCGGCTTGTAGATTGCTATCATCCTTGTTCATCGTCTCTATCGGAATCCATGGCGGTATGTCGATAATCTCTATTACGTGATTATATTCTTAAGATGAATTTGATTTCAAGATTATGTGATTAAGGTTTTCCGCATAAAATTAAATAAAAGTCTTTCAATTGGTATCAGAGCAGAATTTTGAAATCGATTCATCTTAGAACTCAAATATGTTATATGTTAATTATACGGTTTTATGAAATCGAATTGCGATTATGATTGGTATTTGTGTTTTGATATTCATAATCTTTTTGACGAATTGGATATTATTATTTGTGGGTAGTCTTCTGCAAAACACAATCTTGATTTATATACGTGTTTTGATAATACCGCTAAATTTTGTGTACTTATCTGTATTCGACTGATTAGTTGTGCTCCACTGTGGTAACGAATATAGCATGGGCCTGTTAGTATATGTGAGTCTTGATTAAATTAATTATTATATGTCTATTTAATTTTATAATAATATCAATTTGTGTGTTTCAAAGTTTGTCTATGGCAAAATCAATGGTTTGTACTGTGGATGTAATACTGCACACACACACACGTGATTTTGCACGCACACATGAAAAGTATATTTAAAAAAAAAAAAAAAAATTTACCCTGAGTGGGTTTTATATGTTACGGCATCATGCATGTATTGTGTGCAATTATACGTACATGGATACATTTTTGAAGTACATGAATATATATTGCAAAATTGTGTCTCTGTCATTATTTTATAAATTGTATATGCTGTTGTATAATTGACACGTGATAAGTGTGTGTGGTAATTATATGTCTGTGTGTCTTTTATCACTTAAATTAAAATGACGAGGATATTATTAGTTTTATATTTATGAAATTTACTAATCTTATAGTTGCTAAAGTGATCTAGATTAGTAAAATCTAATAAATATAAGAACTATATGAAAGTTTAATCATTTACATGATATTAAAGATTATAATATTCTCAAATTGCAGTCATAATTAAGAAATTGAGACTAGCTCAAAGGATAGTCGATTTTAATTAATTATGAACTGGGTAGGGTGTCATAATTTATATTACTTAGCAATCAGAATTGTTTACCTAAAGGTAACATGACTAATTGACGAGTGAGATAAATTATGTTAGACCCTACTTAGGTGTTATAAAAGATCATTTACACCAACATAGAGTGAACAATAGGTATACTATATTTCACCCAAAGGAGAACTTGTAGTGATATCGATAGTTCATCTTATTTGACTCAAGGTCTTATGTTAGCATCTTTTTTATCTCTACCTTATTATATTTGCTATATTTATTTCAGTTGCTATTCCTACTTCGTTGTACTCGCATGCTTCTGGTATTAAGACACTCAATGGGTCAAATTTCTCCGAATGGTATGCACAAATTCAATTCACCTTGGGTGTTATGGATTTGGACCTAGCATTGCTTACTGAAAAACCTGGGGAAATAACGGATGCTAACAGTGAGGAAGAAGTTAGCCTAATTGAAGCCTGAACCAAGTCCAATAGGCTTAGTCTTATGCTTATTAGAATGACTGTTGCTAATAACATTAAGACTTCCCTTCCCGAGGTTGACAATGCTATGGAACTGTTAACGGCTATTAAAGAACGCTTTAAATCAGCGGACAAGTCGTTAGCAGGGACACTCATGGCTGAATTGACTACCATGAAATATGGTGGTGATAAGGGAATTCAGGAACACATCCTGAATATGACTGATAAGGCTGCCAAACTTGGAGCTCTTGGCATGAAAGTGGAAGAGTCCTTCCTTGTGCAATTTATCCTTAACTCACTTCCATCAAAGTTCGGCCCATTCAAAATCCACTATAATACTCAAAAAGATAAGTGGAATTTGAATGAGCTGACTAGTATGTGTATTCAAGAGGAAGTGAGATTAAAGCAAGAAGGAAATCACTTTGCATTGGCTGTAACTCATGGAAGTATGAAGAAGAAAGGGAAATTTGTGAAGAGTGGAAAGAAATTTGCACCAAACAAAAGATATGAACCTGATGAAAGTAGTCAGGGTCATGGAAAGGCTTTTGTTCTGTTACTTTTGTAACAAGAAGGGACACGTAAAGAAGGATTGTGAGAAACGAAAGGCTTGGTTCGAAAAAAAGATATTCATCTTTCTTTTGTATGTTATGAATCAAATCTTATTGAAGTTCCTTCTTACACTTGGTGGCTTGATTCTGGTGCTACAACTCATATCACAAATTCATTAGAGGGATTCCTTACAACTCGGAAACCGGAGGAAAGTGAAAAGTACATCTATATGGGGAACCGTCTCAAATCTAAAGTGGCGTTTGTTGGCACTTATCGCCTCATATTAGAGACGGGTCACAAGATGGATCTTGAAAACACTTTTTATGTACCTTCGTTTTCTAGGAATTTGGTTTCTTTGTCAAAACTGGATGTTTGTGGTTATTCAGCTTTAATTGGTTGTGGAAAACTCAGTTTTATGTTTAATTCAATAATAATTGGTTCCGGTATTTTATGTGATAGTTTATATAAAATATCTTTGAATCATGAGTTTGAACAATCATTATTAACCACTCATTCGGAAGTTGGCGTAAAGCGAAGCCTAAATAACGAAAATTCTTCTATCTTGTGGCATAAACGATTGGGGCATATCTCCAAGGAAAGAATCGAAAGATTGGTAAAAACTGGAATTTTGGAAAATCTAGATTTTACTGATTTTCAAGTGTGTGTGGATTGCACTAAGGGTAAGCAAACCAAACACAATAAAAGAGGTGCCTGAAGAAGTAAAGAGCTTCTTGGGTTAATCCATACAGATATCTGCTCACTACCTATTCCATGTTTTAGTGGAGAAAAGTATTTTATCACCTTTATTGATGATCTATCTCGTTATGGTTATCTCTATCTAATTCATGAAAAATCTCAAGCCGTTGACATGCTTGAGGTGTTTGTTACGGAAGTCGAAAGACAATTAGATAGAAAAATTAAAGTTATACAATCAGATCGGGGTGGGGAATACTATGGTAGATATGATGAGTCGGGACAAAATCCTGGCCCATTTGCTAAATTCTTAGAAAAGCGTGGTATTTGTGCTCAATACACAATGCCTGGAACACCACAGCAGAATGGAGTTGCTGAACGTCGTAATCGTACTCTCATGGATATGGTTAGGAGTATGTTAAGTAATTCAACTGTACCCATTTCACTTTGGAATGAAGCCTTGAAAACCGCTATGTATATCTTAAACCGGGTTCCCAGAAAGGCAGTCCCAACAACTCCCTACGAGTTGTGGACTAGTAGAAAACCTAGTTTAAGACATTTACATGTTTGGGGTTGTCCTGCAGAGGCTAGAATATACAATCCAAATGAAAAGAAATTGGATCCTAGAACAATTTCTGGATATTTTATTGGTTATCCACTAAAGTCAAAAGGGTACAGATTTTATTGTCCTAACCATACTACGAGGATAATTGAAACTGGAAACGCCAAATTCTTAGAGAATGGTGAAGTTAGTGGGAGTGTTGAATCAAGAAAGGTAGAACTTGAGGAAATTAGGGTGGATATTTTACCATCTTATTTCCCTCAAGATAAAGTTAATCTTCAACCTATACAGCAGGTTGAAACAAATGATTCGCCACTCCATTCACCACTTCATGAAGATGTTATCATTGGCAATACTGTAGAACCACAACAACCGGTAGTTTTGAGGAAATCTCAAAGGGAAAGAAAATCTGCCATATCCGATGATTATGTGGTGTATCTACAAGAATCTGATTTTGATATTGGTATTCAAAATGATCCAGTTTCATATTCACAAGCCATGAAAAGTAAAGATTCTAGTAAATGGATTGATGCTATGAATGAAGAGTTGAAATCAATGGACTATAATGGTGTCTGGGATCTTGTCGAATTGCCTAATAACAGTAAGAAAGTCGGTTGTAGATGGGTCTTCAAGACCAAACGTGACTCTAAAAGCAATATCGAAAGATTTAAAGCTAGACTAGTGGCCAAAGGTTTCACTAAAAAGGAAGGCATTGATTATAGAGAAACTTTCTCTCCAGTATCTAAGAAAGACTCTCTTAAAATCGTTATGGCTCTTGTAGCTCATTATTATTTGGAGTTGCACCAAATGGACGTGAAAACCGCTTTTCTGAATGGGGATTTAGATGAAGATATCTATATGGACCAGCCTGAAGGATTTGCAAAACAAGGAAAGGAACAATTGGCTTGTAAATTAAAGAAATCCATATATGGACTTAAACAAGCTTCTAGACAATGGTATATAAAATTCAATGATACCATTGCTTCATTTGGATTTAAGGAAAACACTGTTGGCCAGTGTATATATCTAAAGGTCAGTGGGAGCAAGTTTATCTTTTTAGTCTTGTATGTGGATGATATTTTACTAGCAAGTAGTGATCTTGGTTTACTTCATGAAACCAAGAATTATCTTTCCAAGAATTTTAAGATGGTTGATATGGGTGAGGCAAATTATGTCATTGGGATAGAGATCTTTAGAGATCGATCTCGAGGATTGTTAGGCTTGTCTCAGAAAGGATATATCAATCAAGTTCTTGAAAGATTTAATATGCAGTTTTGTTCAGCCATTAATGCTCCTATCACGAAAGGTGATAAATTAAATGAAAAGCAATGTCCAAAGAATGATTTGGAAAATGAGAAAATGAAATTGATTCCATATGCATCAGCAGTTGGAAGTCTGATGTATGCACAGACTTGTACTAGACCAGATATTAGTTATGCAGTGGGAGTACTTGGTAGATATCAAAGTAATTCGGGAATAGATCATTGGAAAACACCAAAGAAGGTTATGAGGTATCTTCAAGGAACAAAGGATTACATGCTTACTTATAGGAGATCGGACCAATTAGAGGTTATTGGTTATTCAGACTCCGATTTTGCTGGTTGTGTAGATAGTAGAAAGTCCACATCGGGCTTTGTATTTCTACTAGCTGGTGGAGCAATCTCTTGGAAGAGCATAAAGCAAAGTATTATTGCTTCTTCCACAGTGGAGGCTGAGTTTGTAGCATGTTTTGAGGCCTCGAGTCATGCACTATGGTTGCGAAATTTTATCTTAGGGCTTAAGGCTGTTGACTCAATTGCAAGCCTTTGAAGATATATTGTGATAACACCGCAGCCGTTTTCTTCTCTAAGAATGGAAAGTATTCAAGTGGATCCAAGCACATGGATCTTAAGTACTTGGTTGTTAAAGAAAGAGTCCAGAAACAACAAGTGTCAATAGAAAAATTAAGTACAACTCTTATGGTTGCTGATCCATTAACCAAGGGATTGCCTATAAAGACATATGAGGAACATGTTATTAGAATGGGTCTTTTGAGCAATCCATGATTTGATGAGTTAGGATTATGTAATTGACACTTAATTTATTTAATGAAATGTTTCTGTTTTCCTGTTTCCAATTATGTGTGCACATATTATATTTGGAATTAATTTAACATGATTTGTCCTAACAAGACAAAATTAAAGGGGCTATTATGGATTAGAATAGTAAGGGTTATTAATGGCGTGATACATAGAAGGGAGTATGATAAATGAATCATATAACCGCTATGATTCACATTAATAACTCAAACTAGTTCTAGTATTAAAGTACTCTATTTACCTATTATGGTAATCACCTTAATTTTCTTTTAAAATCGTGATCACGTGTCAAATGTTTTGTATGAAGAACCCACCGAGTCAAATATTTTTTAAACTTATTTTTACTTAATCGATTCAGTGGACCAAGTGGGAGAATGTTAGTTTTACGTTTTATTTTTTTAACGTCGTTTTATTTTGGTCCACTAATCTTTAATGTAATTAATTAAATTGTGGGTAATTCAAATTATGGTATTAAGGTGATTTATGGTATTTACTTTGTAACGTAATAAGACAATAAAAGACCATGATGGGTGGGATTTGTCTTCTGCTGTTACAAAGAATCGTGGCCCTCTTCTCTTGTCTATAAAAGCATCCACAACTCTTCTCCTCAACCATCAGACGCAATTTGAGAATTCCATCAATTACAGAAATATTTAGTGAGTTGTGATATTAGAGAGATAGAGAGAAGAATGTGTGCTACGAATAAAGTTCTCAAGGAGATTCGAAGGAGGCCTGGCTAGGCTCGGCTTGTAGATTGCTATCATCCTTGTTCATCGTCTCTATCGGAATCCATGGCGAACGGTATGTCGATAATCTCTATTACGTGATTATATTCTTAAGATGAATTTGATTTCAAGATTATGTGATTAAGGTTTTCCGCATAAAATTAAATAAAAGTCTTCCAAACCATTTATATGATCTCGTAACGCCCATTTTACATCTACTCGTAGACAATATATTGATGTTCGTCATCGCAATATCTAATCAAGGGAACCAAATTTATGTGATGGATTCTCGACAGGAATGCAACATGTAAGTGCCGGTAACCTAGTTCATGTTATCAAATAAAATATAGAGTAAAAAGCAGTTTGCCCCCTAAACTAAGGGTCGATTTGTACTTTACCCCTCAAACAAAAAAAAAATTGCACGTTTTTACCTGAACTCGTTAATTAGTTGCACGGTGCCCCCTAAACTCATTTTTTCGGCAATTTTAACCGGAATGTGAAAACATGTGATTTGCACGTGAGATTTTTAGGGGTAAATTCGTCCCTTCACTTGCTAGTATGTGAAATTAATATCTTTTTATAATCCCATAAAATTAATATCTTTTTATAATGGAAAATTCAAAAACTTTTGGAAGTAGAAAACAGGGCAATATGAACTGTTTCATTGAAACTCTTTTTTGGTGGTAATTATTTATTTATTTAAAGAATTAAATGAGATTTAATTAACATCAAACATGTCTTGATTTTCTCCTACACCTACTGATTTTATTCTCTTTTTTACATGTTATTTTGTATCATACCTTAATTATTTCTTTCATTTTTTAGAGTCATCACTCAAAATCTTATTTTCAATGACTTTATAAATACATTATTTTTTAAACTAATATGCCTATGCCTTCCAATTGTTATCTCGTAGTTAACTGGGGTACATGAATGGTTCGATTAACAAAATTAGGCATGTGGTAATCCAACATTTGCACGTAAGTACCCTAATTTTCTTGAACCTCCAACCTAATTTTTAGCGGACAACTTACGAAAAAATAAAAAATTACACCGGATTATTTAAATAAAAACTATATTTTCTTACAAAATAAAATAAAATAAGCTTTTATCACTAAATTATTCGATTGATGGATCTTTTATTGTAACTGGTTAAAATTATTAGGTAAAAATATTTGGAAGAAAATATGATTTTTAGATAACTTGATAACGAAACAGCTGAATGATTTTTTTTTTCGTAACATATTTTATTTTGATAAAAAATATAATTATTTTTAAATATGTTGATGAAATGTATTTTTATTTTTGCACTTTATGGTTTCAAAATGATTGATGAATAAAAAAAAAATTGACATTTGACATTCTAAAAGAATATCACTAAAAATATTCAATTAATTTTTTTAGCTTTAAAAATTTATTTGGGATGGATTATGCATGATTTAATTTGTTTCAAGGGTGCAAAGTGCTATTAATTTGTTTTGAGGATGCAAAGTGCTATTAATTTATTTCGAGGGTGCAAAATGCCAAAATGGTATATTTCAAGGGTGCAAAGTGGGATTAAACCAACCCTAAGATTATGATAACTCTACTTCATATGTAGGTCCCATAATTACTCCCAAATCGATTTTAAAAATCAAATAAATATTAATAAATAACATAAAAAGATAATTCATAAATTTATAATCCATATAAAAATGGGCTTTAAAAACAAAAATGTTAATATTAAAAAAAGCCCATCATAACAACATTCGGCCCAATCACCATTTTCGACTGCTGAAATACCTTTTTCATCTCGGTTTCTCCCTCCTCAAGAAAACCCCTCTTTTGATCTGAAAAAATTCTCCACAGTAGTAGAAAGATAAAAAGAGAAGGAAAGAAGGAAGCAAAAGATTCATCAATGGAAGGTGAAGAAGGAGTGCAGCAACCGCAGCTCGTGTTAGCCAACAAGCTATTCCTCCTCACTCAAAACGACGTCGATGACATCGAAAAGGTCCGCCTCCGCGACGAGGTTTTCAACTTCATCATCACTAACGGTACTCAATCTCTCTCCAATTTCACTCTTATGGTTCGAATCTTCGTTTGTTAGTGTTAATTTGTGGTTTAATTTTTGTTTGGTAGATATGGCTCCGTTGTACGAAACCTTAGTTGCGAGTAAAGTTTTGAATTTGGATCAGACGGCGCTCGACGCGATGCGTGCGAAGAATGACGACGAGTTGAAGAAGCTCGAAGAGAAGTGAGTTTTCCCACCACACTCGAATTGTCGATTTAGTATTTACTGTGAATTGCATTTTGAGATTTAATGTGATTTTTTTGTTTTTTTAACTGAGGAAATTATTAGCTTCTCGATTATTAGCTAAGCTTCTTTTGCTAGTAATCGAGAATGGGCTTTTATTTATTTATTTGTTGCCCGAGAGTGAGTGCTCTTCTGTGTGTAACCTAATAATTACATAGAGTTGTGTGGCCGTGTTGATTTTTGCTTTGTACGATAGCAGATATAAATCTTGATGTGAAACGGCTGATACACGGAGGTTTGATTCCTTCTGAAAGAGTAGCGAGAATGCTCATTCACCGATTCTTTTATATGGCTTGACTACGATAGATTTGTATAGTCATTATATATATTAGTGTTTTGAACTAAGCTCGTGTAATTGGGATTAGTTGAGTAGGAGTTCTTGAACTTCTTGATAGATATTGCTGACTGTTTTATAATAAGAACATGGAATAAATCTTTAGATCGTTACAAGTCTTGGTACAAAGCATCCGGAATATTAGTCTAATGTAAGCATGTGAAACGCAAGTTTTTTTCAGGAAGAGCAAAGTTTTACCTGTTTAGTTGTTGAATTTGAGGAAATGTGAAGTTCGATATAATTTAGTGTTCGTCAAAAGGGTCGGATGTTCGAGGGTTGGCAGTTTGTTGGAGTGGGCTAAGTACCTTAAAGAGGGCTGAGAGAGAGAGGAAACGGTAATTGGTACTATTACTGTCTTGGGGTTTGGGCATCTTTGTGAAAGTTAGATAGAAAATCAATGGCAGGGATATTGAAGGTTAAGTTTACACTACAAAATCGAAGGTTTTTTTTATTATGGTTGCCAAATCTTTAATCAATTTTGTAGGTTGAAAGTTACCCTTGTGGCTACTTAGTATATGAGTGCTTGTTAAAGTGGGTGCTGATAAGGATTTACTCAGATCAATTCGAGTTAATGGGATTGTTTTGTTACATTACACGCATTATTTCGTTACATTATACATGCAAGATACAGTGATATAAATGCATGAGATGTTTTCATAATATTTTTACACTATACTACGGTACTGTTTGGTAGCCCCTAAGAACTGCAGATATTTGCAGGTGGAGATCACTGGTTTATAAATAAGACCATAGAACTACTATTTCTATATTTCAAGAACTCTCTCTTTTTAATGTGGTTGTGTAGAATGATTCGTTTTTCATGATTATTAACGCTTATTGATGTGTGTGTGTGTGTGTGTGTATAAACCAATAAGTGTCTGATTACGTTCCAACATATGGTCTTTGGATTATTTGGACGAGTTATTTCCTTTTTATGCAGTCCTCTACCAGTCACTGAGTTATTATTTATATCATTCTTTGTGGTCTTTTAATAGTGAGAAGAGAAATATAGTTTGTACTCGTAATTTTACGCCGTAGCGAATCTTGTTTTGTCCTATTCTGTGAAACTACGTGGGATTATAGTTTTATATTTGTGATATAACTAACCTAAGTCACATGAATTGTTACATATCGTTGGAATTCACTGGTTAAGAACTGATTTGCGGCATTTATATGTATCTTTCTCTTTACTACAATAGAAATGCTAATGAAAATGTACAGTCTGTAGATCTTTATTTGTTACACTCGATTTAAACATATTAGATATTTTCCAAGAACAAGATCCTTTTTACATGCGTAATCTAGTTTGTGATACAACTCACATTCCACGATAATCATATTTGATTTTCCAACAAGTTATGTTTTTCAGTTTTCCTGGGGAATTTAGTTTGTTATAGAACTCACATTTTGCATCTGCAGTCGAAAAACTTAATTCCTTTTTTGGCTTCTGCTTACCTCATACTACTAATCTTTTAAATATATCGATGAGTGGAGAAATAGATAAAGTTAACACTTCGTAATATAGAGCACACAGAGTGAGCAATTGCTTTCATACTTACATCTCTGTATCTGTATTCGACTAGGATTGCTGATGCCGAAGAAAACTTGGGTGAAAGTGAAGTTAGGGAAGCTCACTTGGCTAAATCCTTATTTTACGTTCGAATTGGTGACAAGGTACACGTGCCACTTTGAATGTCCCATTTCTTTTTTCTTACATTTATTTATTTTATTGAATTTCCTTTGACATTGTTTAAATTTCAGGAGAAGGCACTGGAACAGCTCAAGGTAACAGAGAGCAAAACTGTCGCAGTCGGACAAAAGATGGATTTGGTGTTCTACACTCTCTTGATAGGTTTCTTCCACTTGGACTTTGACCTTATCGACAAAAGCATTGACAAAGCAAAGAAGTAAGGGTCTACTTATTTGTCACTATTAGATAAAAAAAATAAAAAAATCCTAGCCCCTTGTTCTATTTTGTATTTTTAACTTCCAACATTACAGATTGTTCGAAGAGGGTGGTGACTGGGAGAGGAAGAACCGTCTGAAGGTGTACGAGGGCTTATATTGCATGTCTACACGTAACTTCAAGAAAGCAGCTGATCTCTTTCTTGATTCTATTTCCACTTTCACAACATACGAGCTCTTCCCCTACGACACCTTTATCTTTTACACTGTCGTTACGAGCATCATATCCTTGGATAGAGTGTCACTCAAACAAAAGGTATGTTGTATTGTAGGTAGTTATAATCTGGATTTAAACGATTTTACACCCTTACAAATAGTAAAATCATAGTGAAATCGCAATTCCCTTATAATCGGTTGAAATTGGGAGTAAAATCTTTAAAATCGCGATTTTTTGCGATTCTTAGGATTTCAATTTTAGTCAAAATTTGGTCTGAAATTTCAAACTTCGACCCGAATCTCTGACTTTATAGCTAAAATTTAGTATTGCCATTACCCAAAAGTTGCTAAAACATGTTTTGTTAATGTTGGGTTATTTATTTTTGTTAGGACATATTATTATGCATGTTATGACTTGTTTTACTTGTGTTAGGAGATGTTTTCTAAGTACTATAAAATATATATAATGGTAAATGGTTTGCTTTTAGTTTTACAATCTATGTAAAATCGAATGAATTTACAATCTGATTTTACGTTCCCAATTTTTCTACCCGTCTCTGGTTCAACTTAAAATCCCAATTTTGACTACCTTGGCACTTCTATTATCTTCTAAAACCAAAAAACTAGATTGCTAATTCTATCATTTCTTTTACTCTTCCAAAGCGAATTATGCAATATTTCGGTTGTTTTGATATGTGACAGGTGGTGGATGCCCCAGAGATATTGACTGTCATTGGCAAAATCCCCTACTTATCAGACTTCATGAACTCCCTATACGATTGCCAGTACAAGTCGTTTTTTACCGCTTTTGGTAATAATCAAAGCTCTCGAACCGCCAATTGCATATATATTTTTTTTATTCTAAAAAATATTGCATTACCTAATTTTGGTATTTACAGCTGGCTTGACTGAGCACATTAAGCTGGACCGCTATTTGCACCCACACTTCCGCTACTACATGAGGGAGATTAGAACTGTCGTTTATGCCCAGTTCTTGGAATCCTACAAGAGCGTTACCATTGAAGCTATGGCTAAAGCTTTTGGCGTGACAGTCGATTTCATTGATCTGTAAGTAGTGAAACTCGATACTTTCGGTGAAACCATCCATTTTTTTTTTTCAGTTAATCCCAATTTCGAAAGTGTTTACTTTATTTGTAGGGAGCTTTCTCGTTTTATCGCAGCGGGGAAGTTGCATTGCAAGATAGACAAAGTTGCAGGGGTATTAGAAACAAACCGACCTGATGCAAAGAACGCCCTTTACCAGTCAACCATCAAGCAAGGTGATTTCTTGTTGAACCGCATTCAGAAGCTGTCTCGTGTTATTGATCTTTGAATTAGGTCAATGATATTTTGTTCTTAAAAAACGAGAACGGCGTTAAAAGAAGCTATGGACTGATTTGCTCATGTGTTGCTCTTTAAGTGCATGTATTTTCTTGTACCCGACTTTGAATTTTTTCTTTAAAGAAATTCCGATTTGCTTGGACACAGAAATTTCATTTTACGACAATGAGTGTAGGCTGAAGTTATTTTATTGGTATTCGTAATATCTTCTGATGTATCTTTTTCGGCTTAATTTTTTTCTCCAAATTTGGCTGTTTTATCGCAGTTAGATACGTATCTTAAATAGCTTTGATGTTCTGAAGATGATATTAGATGCTTACTCGAACTAGGAACGATTGGTGGCGAACCTAATAATTCTTTACAATGTTTTGAAAACGGATTGGACATAGCTAACTGGATCGTGTTTGGACCATTATACGCAGAATAGCTTATTCGTCTCTAATATCAACCTTTCATATGAGTTGAGTCATAAAACTACAATTACTAATACGAAAAAAACCCATAAAATAATAAACAGGTATTTAAATTAGATATTCACAACTCCTTGTCATTTAAATGAAGTCTTATCCAAAGGCTCGTCCACCGGTCAAAAACTCGATTTTTATGGTTCAACTGGTCAAAAACCTCGATTTCTTTTCATGAAAACCCAAAAAACACCCTCTGTAAAAAGTATTTCTGAATCGCAGTACCTAAAAATTGAGACTTGCGCATAGGGGTGTGCAAACGGGTTCAGACTTCAGATAGAACCCGATCGAGTCAAGTATTTTATGGAACTTTCGGGTTGCCCGAATTCGATCTACAAAATGTCACTATTTCTAATATATTAAGTATATATATTTTTTAAAAATGAAAAACCCGAAACTCACCTAGCCGTTACCCGATGAATTGCGGGTACCCGACTTTTCAGGATCGGTATATACGGTTACCCAACACAAAAAACTCGCAATTCGACTACCCGACCGATGCCCACCCCCTACTTGCACATAAAAATAAAAATAATTTTTACAAAAAAAAAAAATGAAAAAAAAATCCTAACATGAGCAAAGCAGTGTCCAAAATACCCGTTAAATTCATGTGGGCAATTTGGATTGTAGTATACACGATTCTCAAACCACAATTCTGTCAGAAAGAGACATACAACTAATCTCAGATATACATACACATTTGTACGTATATATATATATATATATATATATATATATATATAATTGTACGTATATACAAAATTCTAATTCCGTGTATGAGATTTTCCTCCTCCCCTACAGCCACACCATCTCAGCAAATTAGTGATGATACAACCAACCCCACAAAAAACCAGTTCACCACACACATTCTAACACAAATAAAAATTAAATCTTTCATTTTTAATTTGAAAAACGAATTGCGAAAACCATGGTTCCTCTTGATTTGAAGGAATTTCAAGAAAACGTGTCGACTCAGTTCAGACCATGGAAACGTTCATTCCAATTCTGGGTTCGAGCTGTCGATATCTACACCGGTTACAAGGTAATTTCATTTTCTTTTTTGGTGTTTTTTAATTGGGGGGTTTAAAATGTAATAATTATTTTGCGATTGATGATGTTCAATAGGTGGTTCAAGTGAGAGCGAATTTCGAGAAAAACGCGGCGAAGAGGGATGCAATGTGGGAAAACCAGCACCAACTTGCCGCCGATAAGATATACAACATGTGCACTCACCTCGGCGGCTTTTTTCTCAAGGTATTATTATAAACTCATTTTTCTTTCTTTGCTATCTTGCGCCGGTTCTTGATTTTTTTGAACTGTGGGGGTTTTCTTCTTCTATCTTGCGCCGCTGGTTTTTTTAGGTTGCACAAATAATTGGGAAGCCGGACTTGGCACCGGCTGCTTGGGTGAAGAGGCTAGTCACACTGTGTGATCAGGCACCTGCTACACCTTATAGTGTGGTCAAAGTTGTTTTAGAGAAGGAATTGGGTCAAAGTATCGACGAACTGTTCGAACGATTCGATGCCGATCCGCTTGGCTCGGCTTCGATTGCGCAGGTACTTTCTTCTTATGCACACATTGCTTTGTTCAAAAAAAAGAAATGCTGATCGAAAGATTCTACCTTTTTTTTACCCTCGTATGTTACGTTTAAGTTGTACATTGTTTCGTTAAAAGGGTTGTCTTGTTTTCGATGTTACATATTTGGTAAACGTGAAAAAAAAAATTGCTTCTTTAGGGAAATGATTACAAAGAATTCGTTTTTAGTTTCCTTCTTCAAGAATTTGCTTGCAAGAATTAGTTCTTGTTACAGTTAAACCTCTATAAATTAATACAGTCGGGACCAGGGAAATTCTGTTAATTTAGCGAATTATTAAATTATCGAGTTAATAATTTAACACGTTTTCACTGAGTCGGGACCAGGACAAGCTATTATTTAATCTAGGTTCTACTGTAATTGTAGTGTCTGCCTATATTTGAGGTAGTGCTAATTCCGTAATTTGTAGTGTTAATTGTTTAGAAGGAGGAATTGTTGAACTTTGGATTTAAATAATGCTCGAATTTATTTCAGGTTCACCGAGCACGACTCAAAGGCGACAAAATTGATGTTGTTGTGAAGGTAAGAGAAATTTTTACAGTGTCGGCTTGTGTTCTTTACATGGTGTAAAAGGTTTAATTTTTTTATTTTATTTTTATTTTTATTTTTTTATCGTGTTTTAGGTTCAGCATCCCGGTGTTCAAGATTTGATGATGACTGATATCCGCAACTTGCAAGCTTTTGCCTTGTACATGCAAAAGACCGACATAAAATTCGATCTGTTTTCCGTAACCAAGGAAATGGAGAAGCAGGTACATTTCGGTCTCGACTCAGTCTTATGCTATTATTTCAAATTGAGTTCGAGTCTTGTCTTCAAGTTTTTTCGTGCTTTCAGTTCGAACCACAAGGGACAAATAATCAAATCGTACAATGGGTTTTCCGATATCGAGTTTTCCCCTTTTCCATTTGCCTTTCGTTTTTATAAATTTGTTTATCTGCTTTCCGCGTACGTTTTTATGGTCATTACCAGATTTTTAAAATCAAACCCCCTTCTGATTTTGTCGTTTATCTTATGTTTATGTTTCCGAATGTTTTTTTACCACTGCATTGTTGGGTGATATTCGTTTTAATTTTTTTTCCTAAGATTGGATATGAATTCGATTTTTTGAGGGAAGCCGATGCTATGGAGAAAATCCGTCGTTTCCTCTATGCAAATAATAAAAAGTCCCCAGTCCAAGTGCCACGAGTGATCCGTAATATATTAACAAGGTATTATGGTTTTTTATTTTCGAATTTCACAGAGCAGCAGCACACAATTCAAGACTCGTTCATTTGAATTTTTTTTTTAATTTAGATTCTAGATTAATGCTCGTCCCTAGAAACGAACCCGATAAAGTTCATTTTTAGTGGATAATTTTCTAATGTTGGGGATTATTGAATTCGAATTGTAGGAGGGTTCTAGTGATGGAATATATAGACGGAATCCCGATTTTGAAGCTCGAAGAGGAGATAGCAAAACGAGGCATAAACCCTGCCGGTAAGGTAGCAGCGGCAGCAAAGCAGTAAGCACTTTTATCGAGGGACCGGCCCTCTTTCTCGTGCGTTTCCGTTTCATTTATGAATTTGAAAATCCCCGTAAACGTCAATTTTTAATTGTTCCTCCCGTAATTTTTGTGCCTCGGTTGAGTTTGTTGTTGTGAATGTCAAAATTTATTTTCTCGATTTATTTATTTATTTTTGAAATGCAGGAACATCCTAAAAAGTTTGACGCTTGCTTACGGACAAATGATACTGAAGAGTGGCTTCTTTCACGCGGATCCTCATCCCGGAAATATTTTGATTTGTCGAGGTTCTGAGGTAATTGGAACATAATTTCCGATTTCCACCAATTCCGATCCGAAATTTTCCGATTCTGGAACAATATTTTGCATTCCGAATTCCAAAAATTCCGATTTCGATTTTTTCCCCTTTTTTTGTAATGGAATTGGAATATATAGATAATCCGATTTCCGACCTGATTTTAATTTCCGCAAGTTCCATTTTTTTCCGAAAATTACACTTTCAATACCAATACTATAATGCATTTTATATTTTAGGTGACTAAAGAATTGGAATTTTCCGAATTCCGCCTATTCTGATCCGAAAATTTCCAATTTTGGGACGAGTTTTTTCAATCAAATTTCCGAAATTCCGATTTTCGATTTTTTTTAAACGGATCTTGAATTAATTTTTCACTTCTGAAAAAAAATCAGAATTTTTCCGAAAATGCTAATCCCGGTCCAATCCGTCTGATTTCCGAAACAATGGCTTGTTTTATTTTCTTGATTGTGCTGACAAAGGTATGTAAATCACCATTTATATATCTATTAATTTTCTTAATAACGATTCTCTATTTCGTTTTCACTAATTAGGTTGCATTGCTCGATTACGGGCAAGTGAAGGATCTTCCGGAGAAATTGAGGCTGGGATATGCTAATCTCGTGCTTGCTATTGCCGATAACGATCCTATTAAGGCATTAGAAAGCTACAGGTGCGCTAATCGTACCTATATAATATATCAATTGCGACATGTCGAAATTAATTTCAATGATTTATTCGAAATGAATTACGACTATTATTGATTTCTCCATTCTTGTTTCGGAAATTCAACGTCGTACGAGATATTTGAACATGCTGTATAAATAAATCTGATTAAATGATGAAATAATTCGTTCAATTCTACTTACGAGTCGTGGCTTTCTTTTGCTGGCTGCTTAAATTTAACATTTTGTGGGTGTAAGAAAATCGAGTTGAAACTTTAGGACATAATTATTATTATTTTTTTTATTGTTGTATTTGTTTGATATATTGAAGATATAAATATATTTTTTTCGATTTTAGGGAGCTTGGTATAAACACAATAACGAAATGTAAAGACGAGCAGAAGGAGTTGCTTAGATTAGCCCAAACAATGTTCGACACAAAGCTACCGCCCGGTGTTACAATGTTGCAACCTTTCTCAGAAGAATCTTCTATTAAAAAAATCGCTGTTCAGGTAATATTAGAATATAGATTATCACTAAATTAAATTATTGCGTTATTAAATTAGTCGTAATTCCACCCTAAATTTTATATTTGGTACTATTCTATGGTGATTTAGGCTTTTCCCGAAGAATTATTCTCTGTTCTTCGTACGGTGCATTTACTGAGAGGGCTTAGTGTTGGGCTTGGGATTAACTATTCTTGTGCTGAGCAGTGGAGACCTATTGCTGAAGAAGCTTTATTTCTTGCTGGGAGGCTAACCGGTGAGGTTTTTTTTTTTTTTTTTTTAATTCATTTTAATTATCAATTTTAATGAATTGATTAATAATTTATTTATTTTTTAATTGTATCAGATAAAGATATAAAAAGAAGTTCGCGATCACGACGTGGTATTTTGAAAAGAATATTCGGGAGTTAAGAGGTAAACGGTAACTAACGATAAAGTCGATAGGGTTGCTGTCAATTGATCTGTGAGCTGAGGTTCTGGAATTATTATATGCTCGCAATTTATATGTATTCTATTCGATTATTAAATTTAGTGTCAGTATATGTATACTTTTAGTCACGGTCACGTTCGTTTATTTACTATGGGACTAATTTTGGTACTCGAAAATTTTCAAGATTCTTAATAATAAAATTCTTTTTGTCCTTGTCCCTTCTCTTCTATGATTGTAATGTTTGATAAGTTTATAATTTACCTTGAGGTAAGTATTATATGGTCAATTTTACATCTGAAATGCTAAATTTCGTCTTGGTTTTAGTAATACTAGGGGTGAAATTCGGACGGAATTGATCGAAAATGGTTTTTTCAATTTTTTTTCGGCAGTTCAAAATAGTTTCCAATTTCCGTTCCAATAAAACCAGAACTCAAAAATTCATTTCAATTTTGGAATGCGGTCTTGGAAAAATTCAGAAGTTGCATTAATTCATAATATTTGTTCCAAATTAAAAAAATAATAGGAATTTTTAGAATTTCTTTTTGTAATTTTTTATTATTTTCCAGCAAAATAAAGAAATTCAAAACAAAAGGTCGACAAAATGCAATGTAAACAAGAACAACATAAATAGTTCAACAAATTAAAGCTAACTTAGTTCTTGCAATGTTCTTGTGACATAAGAAATATAAATTATCATAATTGGATATTTATATTTTTCATATAATATATATCATAAATTATATTATAGAAATATGAAATATAACATAAAATTTTATATAATTTTGTATACAATTCCAGTTCCGTTCAAAAAATAACTGGAAATATCAAAAAATTGGAATTTCGAAAATCGGAATTAACAAAGGGTTCCAACTTCGGATATTTTAGGATTGAAATCGGCAGAATGTGAATATTCCATTCCAATTTCCACCCCTAACTAATACCGTTTGAAAAACCATTATTTTTCTATTTCTAACTCCATTCCCCTCTACACCAAATTCTTGAAACCCTTTCCTAAACCCCTAAATTCACTCTCAGAAACTCAATTCAAGAGTCGTAATAATAATTTATTGAGGTTCTATTGTAAAGTACAAATTGTAGATAACTTTTTTTTCAAAAACTTTTGCCTGCACACGCCCAATTGTGGAACGACATCTACAAAATGAATAAGAAATAAAACGTCTCATCTTCTTCTCCATGTTATTTATTCTCTTTTGTATGCTCACTATCAAATTTATAATTTGTGATCAACACAATTGTTGTATTTTTGTTTGTTAATGGAGAGATATATATTAAAATGGAGAGATATCTATTTTAACTTTTTATTTTTATTTGTTATTGGATGCATGGTTTCACAAATATTTTATTTTACCGAAATGTTTTCACATTTTTCTTCTTTCAAATTGTTGTAGTATATTGATTTCATGACTATTTTCATTATAATTATCCTCCTTTGCTATTAAAATAATTATAGTATATTGATTTGAGGGTAAACAACATAAAACTTCCCTGTGATATGGAAAATCTGCTCCAAATCCCCTTGTGTTTTATTTTACTTTACACGAAATTCCTTTTTCCGTTAAAATTTAATACCGATAGCTATAAAGGGGGTTTTATGTAAGTTTTTTTGTAACATAGGAGGATTTGGTGCATGATTTTGCAAAACAAGGGGGTCTACGCAAATTAATTTATTCATTTAAAATTCAAATTATTTTCATAAATTAAGTCGAATATATCTATTAATTTAAAATATGAGATTAAGAAAATAATACTTGAGATGGAAGTTGAAACAAATTCTCAAATTATTTAAGTTCTTTTCATATATAATTAATCAAAAATAAATTATAAACATATATAACAATTCTAATAAAATAATTATATAATTTAAAAATTCAAAATCATACATTAATAAATTATATCATATAAAAATTGATTTTTTTTGAAAAACATTCCCCACACCTATTAAAATTTTATTTTTCATATTGTAACTGAATAAATTATTTTTTGCATAAAATCCCCTTGTATTGTAGAAAATATGCACCAAATCCCCCTATATTACAAAAAACTTGCATAAAACCCCGTCTATAGTTAACGACATTAACTTTTAACGGAAAAGAGGATTTCGTGCAAAGTAAAATAAAACACAAAGGGGTTTTATGCAAGAAAAAAAAAACACAAGGGGATTTGGCGCATATTTTTCTTAACACATGGAGGTTTTATATTGTTTACCCATTGATTTCATGGATCCATTTGATTTTTTGTTTTTTTATTCATATATATTAGACTTATTGTCTAAATGGTTACACTCAATTTGAAGATTTGAGTCAATGGATGTTTCCTATTTATAGTACATTAGTTTATGATTACTTTTTTTTTTTTCGATGAATCATTAGTTTATGATTACGTGCTATGACAATCTAGATTATATATATATATATATATATATATATATATATATATATATATATATACACACACACACACGCGTGAGACTCAAATTGAGTACATAAAATTAAATAATAAATTCATAACTGAAGATTTGAGTAATATACATATCTATTCCTATAATTTGAGAATATTTTTGCAGTTTTGGTGACATAAATGAGAAATGGTAGCTACTCATATCACTTTCGATGATAATACCGAAACATTCATTGTCAACAAGAAAAATGATTGACAAAAGATGATAAAAATAAAATTCCGATTAAACTTACTCTCTAGATGAAAAGAGAGGCATTTGATATCAATAGTTCTCAAATTCTTTTGTTGTATCAATAAAGTTATTTAGAGAATCATAATTTATATTGAAATGCAAGTGAATTTGTTATTCTGAGTTTGAAAATAAAATGAACATGTAGTCCTTTAATACTCCCTATTATGAAACGTAAACAATGTGCATTTATGTCTTGGTTGGAATATTGAGTTAAGGAACAAATGAGTTTAATCACATGAGTTATGATAAACTTTATTGGTACACGATATTGGGCCCATCGGGCGGGAATGACCCTGATCAACTAGTCCTCACTCGCAGTTATACTCGCAACTGGTGGTGAGTAACTGCGAGTTCGTCCTTCGAGCGAGACAAGCAGTACTCCATTCCACAATTCGCTCTATTGATATATTTATTGCTCTTGTTTTGTACAATGTGCTTTCGCTTCATATTCTTCAGCAGAGTAAATGTATATAATAATTTTGAGTTAATTAATTGTTTAATTTAATTTAATTTTTTTTTAAAAGTTGTAGTGCCGCATGTGCTGTCAACTTGACATTAATGTAGCACAAGCGGGTCTTTTCGAATCTCCTCCCTCTCTTCTATAAAAGGGAGTACCCTCTCTCTTCTCCTCCTTTAGCCACTCCCCTTTCTTCTGGCCACTTTTCTTCTTTCTTTTTCTTCTCCGGCGAAATTAGTTTTCTCCTCCTCCAGCTCTTTCTCCTTGCCTAGGTAACCCCTTTTCTCTTTTGCTTGTGTGGCTCTCTATTTCTCCAAATTAACGCTTTGGAGTTTTTGTAGTCGTTTTGTTAAATTTTATAGTCGTTTTCACAGTCCTTTACAACCATAGTATATATATAGAGATCCAAATCGTCGAACTTTTAGTGGATAAAAGCTGGACATTGAATATATATGTGTTTCAAGCCCATATTGGGTTCATTTTTTTCGATATGTAGTTGATTTTTACTTTTCTTGCTGTTCAAATACAATTGTTTTGTTGTAGCTGATTTCGATAATTTGTAGTTGGTTTCGGTGATTTTGTAGTTGATTTCGACGATTTTGAAGTTGATTATGATTTTTTTGTAGTAATTTTCAATAATGTTGTAGTTAATTTCGTTAATATTGTAGTTGGTCTCATTGATTTTGTAGCTGTTTTCTATATAAATTGTAGTTAATTTAAATCTCTTGTCATGAACTTATTTGCCATTTACCCTATTTTCTAATCGATCTCAAGTCAAACTTCATAACTTATCAATCAATAATACATGTTCATGTTCGATTCATCTTATCAACAAACATAATTCAAACATCTAAATCGTTTTGATTTTCAATCTTAGTAAGGGAAGACAACATTAAAATTGCACTGTAGGCATATTTATGTAATTTGAGATTAAGGGCCTTATTTAAAAACCCGGTTGGGCCGCAAAGCAAAGAAGAGAGAGAGAGAGAGAGAGAGAGAGAGAGAGAGAGAGAGAGAGAGAGAGAGAGAGAGAGAGAGAGAGAGAGAGAGTATGGATATTGTAGAAGTATCAATTTGGAAGAAGTAAGAGAAATATTCATATTCGTTTCGCTCTAAAATTGCAGGATCAAAATACAAGTTGTCTCCATATTGCTGCTTAAAGAAAGATAAGTTAGTTAGATAATTGCGGGAAAAAAAGAAGGAAACACTAGGAATTTCGTATACAAGTACACGAAATAATTGTCTACATTTCGTGTACAAATGAATGGAACAAAAAATAAGAGAGTATTTATCCTTTATTTCGTACAGAAAATCACGAAATATGATTTAAAATTTCCTAGTGTTATGCACGAAATTATTGATAAAACAGAATACAAAGTTAATTTCTTGAAGTAAACCACGAAACTTAATACATAATTTCATGATATCTTACACGAAACGAATAAAAATCGATGATTATTCGACAAAAACGTATTTTTTTAATCTCATTATTGGGAACGACGTTGGCCATGTTGATAATTGTTGTGTTCTAACTGATTGTAGCAAAAAAAATCATGATATACAAAATTCTGTTATTTGGAGGTTGAGAGAATTTGGAAAAAGTTAAAAGGTTTCTCAACAAATAAATTATTTTGTAATGGTAAGGGGGAAGATGCTCTAAGGGCATCTCCTATGGAATGGGGGAGGGTTGAGGTGTATACGGAGAAGGGGGTGAGGCTGGGGTGGGGGGCTGGGGGGTTCAATTGAGCTCATGGATAAGCCCTGGGCTCTCACTCTCCTACTGCTCACGTGGGTTTCACGTACGCAGGCTTTTGTGTTTTTTTTTTTTGTTTTTTTTCCTTTCTTCTCTTTCCACATTAGTATTTCCCTTTTTATTTTTTTTCTTTTGTTTCTTTGTATATTTTCTTATTTATTTAAATTTATTTTAATTCTTTCTTTTTCTTTCCTTTTTGTTTCTTTCTTTTTTCTTTATTTATTTTCATTTTATTATTAATTTCTATTATTATTATTATTATTATTATTATTATTATTATTATTATTATTATTATTATTATTATTATTATTATATGGTGATAGTGGTGTTGGAAAAAAATGGAAGAAAGAGATTGGTCGACTTGATGAAAAATGGGTTGGGGTCGAGGTCGGGGTCGGGGAGCCCGGCGGAGCCGCCCCTATCCAGAGGAGATGCCCTAACAAGAGAAGACAACATTTACATTGCACTATAGGGACAATAATGTAATTTGAGACTAGGCCCTTATTTAAAAACTCGGTTGGGCAAAGCAAAGAAGATTAATAAGAGAGAGAGAGAGAGGGAAAGAGTAGAGAGAGAAAATGGATACAGTAGGTGTGTTTGGTGGAGCAACAGCGACTCCCTATGTTTCATCTTCTTCCTCACTCGCAAGAAATGGCCGCTGCTTATCGTGCGCACCCTCCCAAAACCTTAACCTGCGCACCTCCCACCTCGCCGCCTTCCGCCCACCTTCCCACCTCTCCTCCTCCTCCAAAACTCGCCCTAACAAGCTCCGCAAATCCCGCATATTCCTTCCTCATTTAGTTGCTTCCATGGTGAATTTCTTTTCTTTTTTTTCAGTCACAATTTTTCAAGGATTTTGTGTTTTATTATTTTTAATTGGGTACAGGTTGAAGTGGAAGAGAGTTACATTATGATTAAACCAGATGGGGTTCAACGCGGCCTCGTAAGAATTCTTTATTTAGCATTAATGGATTTTCTCTCTTTTTTTAAATTAGCGACGGATTATTTGTAACTGTATAATTAGCGACGGATTCTGTGAAATTGGGCGTAGGTTGGAGAGATAATTTCCAGGTTTGAGAAGAAGGGTATTAAGCTTAAAGGATTGAAGCTTTATCAATGCCCCACAGAACTAGCTCAGGATAGTATATATATATATATATATATATATATATGATGGATTTTGACTCTGAAAAATTGTGTCTTTAAACAGATTAACACAATTGACTTGTGTTGTTTCTTGTTTATTTTCATTGCTTTTAGCATTGTAATTACTTGCTTTGCAGATGTGTGTGTGTGTGTGTGTGTGTGTGTGTGTGAGGAGCAATACAAAGATTTGCAGTCGAAACAATTCATCCCCAATTTGATTGTTTATGTGTGTGTGTGTGTGGATAATGGTTACAGGAGCACTACAAGGATTTGCAGTCGAAATCATTCTTCCCCAATTTGATCGACTATATTACATCTGGTCCTGTCGTGTGTATGGTACGATTCTCCCCTCGAACAAATTTAAATCGGCCTCCCTGTTCGACTCATCCTTGTAATAAAATCAAAATTGTTTTAACGAAAAAATTGTGTTAACTGTTTATTTGATCAAAAAGGCGTGGGAGGGCGTAGGTGTTGTTGCCTCAGCACGCAAGTTAATCGGAGCCACTAATCCTCTTAACGCCGAGCCAGGCACTATTAGAGGGGATCTTGCCGTTCAAACCGGAAGGTCAAAACCCTTTAAATCTTGAAAATATTCGTCAACTTAAAGAATCCATAACTTTATCTCGTATGTTTAAGCACTTGAAATCGTTTGTTTGTTATATCTTAATAAATATTATTGCCTATGTTATATTGGCAGGAATGTTGTTCATGGAAGCGACAGTCCTGAAAACGGCAATAGGGAAATAGGTGAAACTTTCGTTCAACTTTTGCTGCAGCTTCGATCTTTTGGAACCCGAATAATTTTTTAAATTTTTTTATTCATTTTTATGATTTGATTACAGCTCTATGGTTCAAAGAAGGAGAAGTGGTGGAATGGACACCCGTTCAAGAACCGTGGTTGAAGGAATAGAGTTTTTCTTATTCTATAACTCGTTTTGAGGCTGTCCACACACATTAACGAGAGTTCTCGATTCCAATTTTTTTTTTCTTTTGGCATTTCTAACTTACGAGAAATGTAACGGTTCAATTTTCAATTTGTGCCAAGTTTTGAAGAAATTGTTTGATTCATCATACGTGATCTGCAATTTTTCTTTATCTTTATTCATTTTGCAATAAAGCAGAATTATTCTTATCTTCATTTATTTTTATTTATTTTTTGATCAGTTACGTGTCTGCGATTATCCATAAGTATTTGGTGAATTGACACCCGGTGTACTTTATCAACTAGTAATACCATATTTGTGTGTAGGCACAGGTAAATTATCATTATTTATCAGTCGAAATTTTGTTTAAAATATAAAATTTACGGGCAATTTCAACTCGTGGCAACTACTGATTTTAATTTGTGGAACTGCCGATTGAAACTATGGTCGTATATCTACTTTGTTAGTAGCACACCAGAAAGTGAAACAGAAAGTAAAAATAACTAACTCAATTGCACAGCTATAGAGAAATCAAGAATCGACGGTAAAGAACAATTACAGTTACAAACACAATCGAGGTGTATGAATTATATCGTATTACACAATAAACGGACAACATCACCCACCCCTTTTTAGTACAACATATTTCTGCTGATTACGATCCACAAATTTAAATATCTAAATATCCCGAACCAAACGTTACGGAACCAATGTTTTCCCAATCTCAGTTTCCGTCGTCAGCCAATCTCAGTTTCCGTCGTCAGCCATTTTTGAACCGTGTCAACTTCCAGACACAGTCGAAACACTTGAGGAAGAAGAAGACGAATAACCACTCTCTACAGCCATCGCCTCTGTCTCGTTCGAGTTATGTGAATGTTGCGTACTTTTATATTTTGAGAATAAATAAAGAATAGACATATTCTTACTTCCTTTCTCGTTTGAGGAGCACAGTGTCGATTGAAAACTAACACTAGAGTCGCCGGATATAGAATCGCTCGAGGTACAATCAGCATCAGCAGCAGTAATACCCTCCCCAGGCGAATCAGTTGCCATGGTACAACTATCCTCAGGGTTGTACCTTGGATTACAGTGAGAGCCTTGTTTGAGTTTCAGAAGGGTCGACTCTACAACCAATTTCGATATAAAACAGTGTAAGCGTTATTTTCCAAGAACGAATTATGCAAAATAGTATCATATCACCAATGTTAGAAACTCAAATATTACAACCTTGTAATAATTTCCTTCTCAGTTAGTCATACTTTATTACCAATTATCAGTGGCATAACAATGAAGGGCCAGGGGGGGTGGGGGGAAGCCGCCCCTCCAAGAAAAGAAAAAAAAAAGAAACCAACTTTTTTTAGTTACTTTTTGACATGATATTTTATAAATATGTGTTTCCAATTTTTTCTTCTTCTCTATTCTCTTGTGTTAATTTACCTATCCTAGCAACTATTTATGAATAACTCTAAAAAAAAATCGGGGGCGCTGCCCTGAACCCCCGAAAAATTTAACCTACGGCTACATGTATTAATTCCACACAAAAATACCCCTCCGACAATTATCTTAGTTGTATCTGGAAAATCAATCTAAGAAGAACATATCCTGAACCATTTCTCCGACATAATAATTAGTGGGAATACAGCAGTTCTTTCTTATTCCGCTCGACCTCAGTATCTCACCTAAAAAAATATAAATTTCGGAAGTCGAAAACTTCATGATTCAACGAACGAAGCAAGTATAAGAGAACTTATAAAATCCTCAGTTCATACTAAATTTCGAGGTATCGATGTTAATTCGAAATAGTTACGCCAAGCCTCGTCTTCAAATCTAATAAATCCAACCAAAGAGCAACTTATTGCATTCTCAGTTCCATAAATCTTGTCTCGGTTCCCAATTCAAACAAAAGCAAATTGAGATAAATGCCCCAGACTGTGCTATCATTTTAATTATTTACAATTACAACCCATATTTGATTCAAAATTATGAATAATTTATAAAAAAAATCCCCAATTCGTATTCAAATCCAAGCAGCAGGAAAACCTAATTAACTCCATAAAATATTTCCTAACCCTAAAAAAGAAGGAACATACACGCCGGCCCTTTCAGAACGACGTCGTATAACAGTAACGAATCAAGCAAGGATCTGAATTTCTTTTAACCTAATTGAAGAAATGAAGAAGAAATTAAATACCATAGATGGAGAGAGAGTCGTGTTTGATGATCTTGGAAGGGGGTCTTTCCATTTCAAGAAGTTCCAAAGAGCTGATTGGCGATGCTCTCACTCTCCCAAACATTCTTCTGCGCTATCTCCACCTTCACTGTGTGCAGCAGTTCGGGGGTGGGGGTGGGGGTGGGGTGGGGTGGGGGTGGGTTGACGGGGAAGAGTCTGAAATATGTAATTTTGATTTTTGAATATTTGGGTAATCGACGCGCCAAATTGGACGCGAAAAGTTACGATGGGGGGCGGGAACCATTGGTGAAATAAATACTGCAATCTTTAAAACTTTCTATAAACAAATTCTCTCTAAATAAAAACGCATCCTTGAAAAGTCAAAATATAAAAATATAATTTTTTTGCAAGCTCAAAAGTGTTTGCTAATTTATAGGGGAAGCTCAAAAGTGCTAATCTTAATTTTTTTTTTCTCCTCCATATAAAAATATAAAATAAAATTGCAAGCTCAAAAGTGTTTGCTAATGCATGAGCTAAATTATAGGGGAAGGAACCGGCACTCCAATTGCAAGCTCAAAAGTATTTGCTAATGCATGAGCTAAATTATTACAAGTGCGAGGAACAAAAGAAAATTTAAGACGAAATGAACGATAAAGTAAGAGTCCGAATGCCTCTAGATATGCTCCAAATGGGCATAAATTAGCGGCTTCATCCCTAAGTGCCGTAAAGAGTTGCTGGTAATCTCCTTCGAGGATCATCGAGTTCCAACATTTAGCCTATGCCATTTGGATCGCTTTGAGGGCTGCGTGGGCTTCTCCTTCTACCGCTTGGACAATTCCTGGGAATTGTTTCGGGTTTGGTCCTACAGTGGACCAAAGCATGTACGGTTTTTTAACAGTTTCATGTGATACCATCACATGGAACTGTTAAATAAAAAATTAAATTGAGATATATTTAAATGAATTCAATATAATAAGATTTTATATATATTTCTCATTTATTTATTCAATGTGTTATATTATTAATTACATTGTTTATATTGTGCATTTGATTGTGGTACACCGTGCCTGTGATGAATTGGTCATGTACATGTACGATAAAGAGTTTTGTTAAGTTTTATGAAGCTTCAATATTTTGACTAATCTTATATATAAAAGAAAGAAACGTTGGGCAACCTTAAAAAAACCCTAATGGTGTTTCTGTAATTATTTATTTTTAATATTTTTTATGCTAATTTTCTAACTATAATTTTCAACAATTATCAATCTCCTATTTTTCATCAATATATCTCAAAACTTAAGAGATAAAGATAGAAATTCGATTTGTTAAATCTTAATCTATATATTTGGATTATAAATATTATTATGCAATATTTAAAAAAAGTAATGTTATATATAATATGAATAATACCATATTATTAAATTTTACTATGTACTATATTTTCTTATTATGTATTAAATTGATTATTTTTTTCACTTTTTAAATAATATCCCGTGCATCGCACGGGCAAAAAATGCTAGTCTAATTAAAGGCACACACTTGAATATAAGTTTTTTTTTTTTTACTTACAAATTTGCATAAAAATATAAATATTACGTCTAGATTGACACATTAAGATTTTTATATCTAAAATAATTTTTACGAGACTAATTTTACGAATCATACCTCACATGCACGCCCAAGCTCGGTGTGAAAAATCACATTCATGCCTAGTTTGGGCGTGGGAAAGATATCATTTTTTAGGTTTTTATATGCATATAAATAAAGTTTGGAAAAACTACTTTTAGATGTTTGCAAAATCAATTTTTGTTTTTTAGATTATCTTAAAATAAGTTGTTTTAAGCTCTAATTTTAAAAGCATTCTTCGACGTGCTTTTTCAATTGAAGTTGGTTTTTCAGCGTATTTGCAAACATCTTCAACTTCTACAAATAAACACTTAAAATCAATTTAACTCATAATCACTAACTTCTGTTTTTAAATAAGTTTTTAAAACACTACCTTAGTATATATCTATATTGCAAATATTTTCTAGTACTTAGGACGAAAACTCTATTTTTTTTTTTTTTTTCATTTTTCATTTTTTGAATAATAGGAGTTTAATGTGCAAATTCTATTTCTAAGTCCATATTTATTAAGGGATATACATGACTATTTGTTGAAATTTCTAAGAAATCTGATTGATCTAAAAGAAAAAATCTGGATTTCTTCCCGTGCTGCATATACTCATCTCCAGAATTTACAGTTCACTCCTTTAACGTTTTAGAGGTGCTCAGTTTAGTCTCCCAAATTTATAATTTTACAGTTTAGCCCCAAACTTTTCAGAATTTGCAGTAAGAGTCTGCCCTTTCAGAATCTGGCAATCTGCAATTATGTATATATATTTTAGAATTTCCAACTTTGTCATTGAAGTTTTCAAAATTGCTGTTTGTGTCCCTAAGGTTTGCAAAATTTATTATTAGGTCTGTACGTTTTTGAAAATTTCAATTTGATCCTTCAATTTTCAGAGTGTTCAAAATATTTAGATTTTATAATATTTTGATTAGATATACTAACAAATTTATTTCTTCAAAAAACAGATTTGTTAATTGGATGACATGTATTACATGTAAACAATAGTTTGTTATTTCGGCGATTAAATATTTTGAGTCCAGATTAGGAGATATCTCGGCGATTAAATATTTTGAGCCCAAATTAGGAGATATTCACATGACGTATTTTTATCATTCTGATGAGACCGTTTTTCAGCCGTTAGGGGGCGATAAGAAGTCGGTTCATGTAAAAAGGCGTAAAATTACATAAAATGATTTTTGCCTTAATTTGATTTGTGCATAAAAAAAAATTAGCACACATGATTTTTGCCTTAATTTGATTTGTGCAACAATTTTATAAGTAAAATATTAGATGCATTTTGACAAAATATTACAACTTGAGGCAAATAAGTATGCTGCAAATGATTGCGAGAGAAAATGTCATGCAAGGCACATTGATTGCACATTGTGATTGCAACATAGACGCCGAATAAGAAGGGTGAAAATGTTATGGTACACTACGGCAAACCAGTTATACTTTATACTTATACAAGTGAATATCACTAAACTAAAGTTTACTAGCATTAATAGCATACAATCATCATCTTTATTTCATTATATTAAAAGATTTGTCTTGAAGACGACGTTGGGGATGTCTCAATACAAATATCTATTCCTAAGATTTGAGAATCGTTGTCAGTTATGGTGACATAATTGAAAAATGGTAGCTACACATATCACTTTCAATGATAATATCGAACCATTGACCGTCAACATAAAAGTTGATTGACAAAAGATGATAAAAATAAAATTCTGATTACCGTACTCTCTAGGTAAAAAAAAGAGGCATTTGATACTAGTAGTTCTCAAATAATTTTGTTGTATCGATAAAACAATATAACGAATTAGAATTACTTTTGAAATGCATATTCATGTATCAAATTGAATTTGTTACCATTAAGTTTAAAAAATAAAATGAACAAGTAGTCCCTTAATTCTTCCCCCATATTATTGTTAAACTAAAACAATGCGCGTTTAAGTCTTGGTACGACATTTATTTGAAGGAACAAATGAGTTCAAGCACATGAAGTATAACAAGACTAAGGGATATTTTTTATCAAACGATGTGCTTGAACAAAAGCCCGATGATATTTTGTTAAACAAATAGATCAATACTCCAATTTTATGTGATAGTTAGCAAAATATTGTTTAATATGTAGAAATAGAGGAAGATACCGATTTCATATATCTGTGTCTAGAATGTTGTAAATACAATTTAAATGATTTAATTCGCCGCAAAACTTCAACATCATACCTTGAACTGTGGACGATTAACGCGACAATCTATCTGCAACTTTATTAAACTGTATTTTTATCCTTTAGGCTGTTTTTATATATGTATAGATTTTGCCGTATAAATTTTGATTTTTATTTTTTAATTTTGGTAAGGGAAAATTAGAGAAAAAAAACCCCACCTAGGAAATATAGTTAAGGAAACACCTCCTCCAAAAAATAATTAGAGAAAACCCCCTTAGCTAATATCCACCCATGTGATATTTTCATAATTCCAAAACTACCCTTAATTGTCTAATATACTCTTTCAAAACCCTAATCTTATTTTTAATTTTTCATCCGCCGTTTTTCAACGCTCCAGCGTTTCTCTTCTTCTCTGTTTTCTCTTCTTCTTTGTTTTTTTTTTCCTCTATTTTCTCCGGCAATCTTCTCCGCCGCTGCCGCCGGAAGATGGAGAAAGAAAGAAGAGGAAGCACCCATTATAAATGATTTTGATAGCGATTCTGAATTCGAATGACATGATTGCTACATCGGAGACGAAAAGAGGTAAGATTGTCGTTTTATCGCCGGAATCAGATTTTGATGGGTGGTGGTTCTGCATTGGTTGGTGGTGCGAGTTGTGATTTTATTTATTTATTTGTAATAAAAAACCGTCATAATGTCAAAGTAGGGTGGTGATGGTGTGTTGTGGCGGCGGTGTGGTGACGATGGGGAGGCAGATTTAGGGTTTTTTGGCGGATTGGGCGGATGACGGCGCCTGTAGAGAATTTCGCGCAGGCTGAAACCTTAATCGACTATGTACATGTTCATAGTCGATTAAGCTAATCGACTATGCTCTGGTAGTCGATTAAGGTTCATCGACTCCAATTTTTTTATTTTTTTTTGGATTTGTTGTTTATTGTTTCCAATTGTATAAATCATTTATAATGTTTGTATATTTTTTGTTTTTGTAATATATAGTTGATTTTGCATTTTTTCGCAGTTGTGATTTGTTATATTTAGTAGCAGATTCTTAATCGACTATGCTTCACATCATAGTCGATTAATATGCTTCATTGACTCCAATTTTTAATTTTTTTTTTGATTTTTTCGTTTATTGATTCTAATTGTATAAATCAATTATAATGTTTGTATATTGTTTGTTTTTGTAAAATATAGTTGAGTTTGCATTTTTGTAGTTGTGATTTGTTATTTTTAGTAGTTGGTTCATTAATCGATTATAGTTCATCATAGTCGATTTAATATGTTTCATAGTCGATTAACATACCCGATAGAGAAAAAAAATAAAAAAACGAAAAAAAATTAAAAAAATAAATAAAAATAATTTAAAAAAAATAAAACATAAAATTAAAACAT